GAAAGAAAGAAAGAAAGAAAGAAAGAAAGAAAGAAAGAAAGAAAGAAGAAAAAAAAAACACACAACTATTTGTTTTCGTTCTGTTCGTCTGAGGGAAGTTGACAGAAGGTCAGGAGTTCACCCGCTGCCGGCTAATGCGGCTGGAGCCGTGCCCCGGGAGGGCATCCGCGCACCGCCCCCGGCCCGCACCGCTCCTCCGCGCCCGCACCGCCGCGCTGTGCCCCGCCGGGAGCCCATCTCCCGCGGAGCCGCCGCCGTCTCCTCCTCCTCCTCTCCGTTCGCGTAGGAAAGGGTGAAACCCGAGCCGGCGCGATCGATGGGCGAGAGAGGAGTTAAGTGGAGCTGAAAATGCGAGATGCGGAGGCAGAGAGGGCGGAGGAGCGCTCAGCGGGGCGCGGGGGCTGAAGCTCCGCGCTCCGAGCTCCGCGCACCGCACACAGAGCTCCGCGCTCCGCCCCGGCAGAGGCGCGTCGCCGCGCTCCGAGGTACGCGGAGATTTAAGGTGGTCGGGAGGAGATGGTGGCCCCGCGCCCCGAGAGAGCCGGCAAACGTGCGGAAAATCAGGCCGAGGAGCGGGGAGAGTTTGGGAAATTCCCCTCCCTCCCCCCCCGCATTTCCCCGCACCCCCTCCGCGTCCACTCCCCGCCTCGTCCTTCCCCGAGAGTCCTGTTCTAGCGCTGAAGGTGGGGCTTAAATGTATTAATATTAAAAAAAGCGCCGTTGACCTATATTTGGAGGAAACCCATTTCCAGTGCCTAGATTGCATGTAGTTTGAGAAACTCCGGGATTGGCAGAGCAATTGACTTCACCGAGCTCTCTGGTGAGCATGAATAATAATTACGAGGTGACTCTCGGAGAGGTTCTCTCTCTCTCTCTCTTTCTCTCTCTCTCTCTTTTTGCATAAAATGGTTCCGCAATCCGATTCCGCCCGAGATCCAATATTTACCCGGTTGTAAACCTTGTGCCATCAGATTTTTTAAACCCGAAGGTGATGCAATGCCGATAAGTTGCAAGTCCCTCCCCTATGGAAGTACCAGAGCGCTGACGGCGAGCATCCTTAAAGAAATATCAATATATTTACGCTCTGATGGGCACAATCGCAAATGATGGTATTGCAATACGAGCTCTATCATACGGAATCAGGAGAGCCATGGTCGATCCGGCTTCAGCTGCCTTTTGTGAGTGCACGACTGCATGCCTACTAAATATAGAATACGCTCGCGAGGGAAAAAATAAATAAAATAATGAAGGGCAAAATGAAATGAAACAGCGGGGGAAAAAAAGAAAAAGAAAAAAGAAAAAAGAAAATGAAAGAAAGAAAAAGAAAAAGAAAGAAAAGAGAGATAAACCCGAGCGATAAACCCGAGCGGGGGCTCCTCCGGCGACGGGAGCGAGCGGCCCAGCGGTCACTGCGCGCCCGCGGTACTCCGCGCTGGATGCGGTTCGTTTGAGCAAAGTGCATCCGTGGGGACGAACGCGAGCGGCTGTCCCTGCCCAAGTTGCAGGGAACGCCATGGCGATGCCGGCGGGTATCGCACCGAACCCCCACCGCCGGCTCCGGCCCCGCTAACTTGTCTGAGAGATGCCATTGCCATTACGGGGAAAGTAGCCGAGTTTGGAGGGCGGGGGGAGGGGGGGAGGGAAAGGGGGGGCTCTCAAAAAAATGCTAAGACAGATGCGTCCTTTAGGGGTGCTCAGAGAGGTTAACAAACACAAATACAGGTATCTCTGTGGCTCTACCTGAGTCATCAGTCTGTCAGCTCCCGTGTTCTCTTCATCCTTAAAAATAATGTCAGGGTTGTAATTTGGGGTTAGTTCTTTAAATCTCTCGGAGTTTCTTGTGATCTTCCCTTCATATCTTCCACTGGCCCCTAGGGTCTTCTCTGCCACATTGGGAATAAACTGCTTATAGGCTAACGGGGTCAGCTTTTTGGGGTGCCTCCTTTTTCCAATGCCCCTGCCTGGTCCACAAGTCAGCCCAGAGGAGACTAAAAGAGCGCAGATGAAGCCCACCAAGAGAATTCTTGTCAACAGCAGCATTTCGTCCATTGAATCCAATTACTTCACAGCTCTCTGTGCCTATCCCTGGCTGTCTCTCTAGAGCTCTCTCTCCTCCTATGTCCTTGTCTGCTTTCTGATCGTATACTATCCACCGATTCCTAGCAAGACAGGTGCTGGAATGGCAGCCTTTAGGTCGCTGATAACGGAACACATCGGAGTTTGGTCGGGAGACAGCAATCGAGAGACAAAAAGGGTCTGATTTTAATGGTAGCAAAGCAAGACGCTTGTGAGAGGAGTCTGCCTTTAGTTCTATATTATAGCTGCCAGGGCCGAGAGCTGATTGGCCAAGGCGAGACAAGCTTGTCTTCTGATGTTTTAACCCTCAAAAAGGCAACAAATTCTTGAAAGATTTTTTTTTTTTTCCTTTTACCTGAAGGGCTCGGAGCTGAAAGGGGCGGGGATTGTGCTTTCTTGGGATAACATCAATTACACGCTGTTTTTTTTTTTTTTTTTTTTATTAAAAAAAAAAAAAAAAAAAAAAACAAAAAACTTTCTTGGCAGAATGGTACATTTGTCAGTAAGGGGAACAGACGCCTCTGCGTAATAATAATAATAATAAATGCAAAATACATCAGGTTCGAGGGGTGCGAGGCGGGCTTCTGAGGGCAGTTCATAAAACGCCGAATTAGCGGGGAGCCCCGCAAATAGAAACCTATTGGGGAAATGGTGGAGCTCTGGGGGAAACAGTGCCGTGTGAGGGTGAGCCCACCTCGGGGGCTTTGTAACAGGTTTCTTCCCATGGCAAGGGACACCGCTCCCCTCGTGCAGCCGCGCATTGAACCACAGTCACGTTTTAGCTGATAAATGACTGCTTTGGAGGAAGGAAAAACCGATAGGAGGAGGCAGCTGGCCGCCAGTCTGCATCACGCGGACACCTCAGCAGCATTTATTTTCAAATAAGTAAATAAATAAAAATCAGAGCTGTCCCCATTGAAAATAACGCAGCGAGTCGGGAAGTGGCCGCGGTCAGGGATGGCACAGCGCTGCGCTTTGTTCTGCGCTCCGAGCGGCTCTGCCGGCTCTCACACCTCCTCGCGGGGTGTCATTAAGTTTTGAAGGAGAGCGACGCGCTGAAAGCATCCGCAAACACAATTAGCAGCGATCGATCCCGGCAAAGTGAATGGCGGGGGGATAAGTTTAATGTGAAATTAATTGTTATCTCGTGCAGCGTGGCAAGTGATGTCTTTATCCCCGGTCTCCAAAAGCGACTGATCAGACAAAGGTGTTGAGAGACGAGCAGAACTGCAGAGATGGGGCTGATAGAGCAGGTCGGGCGGAAAGGCAGGGTCCCGTATGGACAAACACCGCTGCTAAGGGCTTCTCTGCTTTTGCTCCGGAGAGCACGCGATTTGTCCCAGGGTCCAGAAACTCGAAGGAGCTTTTTGAGAGTTCTCAAAAGTCCCGAGATGACACGCTGAAGTGAGCCGAAGTCCACTCTCTTAGCAAAAATAATAAATAAAAATCAGCTTTATTTAAGGAAAAATAAAATGCAGCTCTTTGGAGCGAGAGGTGATATGGGAGTTTTCCCGTCTGAGTCGTAATCCACTTAAAGCACGTGAAAATGGACTTTAAAATTAGTTTTTAAGTGGTTGAAAAAGAATCAAGAAAAAGTTGTACGCCATGAACAGCAACATGGAGCACCACCCCAACTTGCAAGGGACAAAGTGATCTTTCTTAGGTAAACTTTAGAGAAAGAGCTTGAAAGAAGTGATTGGAAACTCTCAGATCGACTTTTCCCTCCCGTGCACCCACTCTTCTCTTCTGTTACTTATGCTTCTGCGTAACCTTCCAGTGAAGCACCACTTTCTTTTTCCCAACTTGAAATGTCGGCGTTTTTAACGGTGGGTAAGGAGTGAGGAAGGCAGATGCTCGTCTGCGAGTTTTTTGTCAGCCCGTCGAGTTGCAGAAACAAGCCGTCTAACAGCCAAACGCCTGCTTCGTGCCATGAAAAACACACTCAAGTTTTATCTTCCCGTCTGCGTGCATGCGAGAAGACAGATACAAGGAATATATAATTTATACAAAAGAGGGTACGTTCTTTTGATGTGGTTGCTTAAACAGCATGACTTGATATAGCAGTTGATTAAACAGTGCCAAGGAATAAAAGCTGCCCCTAATGGTGTGGGATCCTGCAAATCTTTTATCACCCTTCTTACCTTGTCCCTCTCCCCAAGGAAAGATGATCGATATCCTGGGAGGATCAAGTATAGGGAATAAGGATAAACTCCCTCATTATCAGATTGCCATATGTACAGAGCAGTCACCCAAAGATTAACAGGAAAGGAAACGCAAAGAAGGAATTAATTAAATGTGAGTAATAAATGCACGGGGGGGGGGGGGGGGGGGGGGAGAGGGGGGAAGGGGGGGAGCAGGGGAGAAATCAAGAAAAGTTGTAACTGTGGGAAGCTCGAAATCACCCTGCTATCAAATTAGATGTGAAAGAAAGCAGAGCTGGGGGGCGGGGGGCTCTGCTCAGCCTCAGAGCGGCCGCAGGGGCCGGGAGCGGGGCCGGGTGCGGGGTGTGCCCGCTGACCCGCCCTGCTCTTCGGGCTTGCAGTTCCACCTCTCCCAGGGCCGGGAGGACACAAACCACGAGGGGCTCCCAGCACGGATCCCCCCGACCGCCCCCACCTCTACAGCCGTGCTCTGCCCGCCCAGAGCTGCTGGAGAGCGTCTGACACACGGACACCGTGCCCGACATACGGACATCCTGCCCCACGCATCCCTTCCGCCCGATATATAGACGTGCTGCCCAACATATCCTTGCCCAATGTACAGATACCCTGCCTGACACACAGACACGCTGCCCTACGCATGGGCATTCCTGCCTGACACACGGACACACTGCCTGACATACAGACACACTGCTTGACTGATATACAGACACAGTGCCTGCCACGCAGACACACAGCCCAACAGACAGACGTCCTGTCTGACATACAGACACTGCCCAACACGTGGACATTCATGCCCAAGGAACCCTGCCTGACACACGGACACCCTGCCCAATACATGGACACCCAGCCCAACAAACACATCCTGTCTGACATACACATGGACATTTCTGCCCAGCAGAGCCCTGCCCGACATACAAGCACCCTTCCCAACACATCACTGCCCAACCCACAGACATCCCTGCCTGCTCTGAGGGCACATTTGAACAACAACAATAAGAACCACCAAACAGAACACCAACTAGACATGGATGCCTTAGAAAGATCAGTCCCTCAGATGTGGATTATAAAAGTCAGTGCTGGGTCTTGATGTCCCAAAACATGCAGGACAACCTTTTGTTCTCTGAGCACGGAGCTGGGCCCTGTCCCAGCCCTCAAAGAGCTGCTCTGCTCTTTTTTCCCATGGCCCCCAACCACAGCACCCCCAGAAGCGAGCAGCCCCTAGGGCCTCCTTGCCCAGAGAGCGTATGCTAACAGCTGAGTCCTTCTTGGCAGTGCCCCTGAGCTCCCTGTTGGACCTCTAATGCCTCAAATCTAAAATCTCTGGGAGCTCTAGGGTCATCTGGTCCCTATACTCCTGGATACAGCAAGAACCCGTGCCATGGGTGCATCCACCACTGATCCCGAAGAGTCTTCTTCTCCTTGCTCGTGTACAAGCTTCTCCTATAGCTGCGTGGCCCAACTTTGTTTGCTTCCACATGGGCTCTTCTAGTGGCTCTGCCACAACTGTGAAAGTTCCCAGTCTTTTTCCCAGCACTGGCCTGGGATATGTTTGCCTCTTTAACCCTTGCTGTGATCCAGCAACACCTCTGAGAAACTCAGTTATTACTTATCAACTTTGCTGTTTGAAATCTGAACTTGTTGTCTGCTCTTTGCTTTGCATAAAACAGGGAAGGGCTCAGACCTCACAAGTGATGTTCATTGGCCAAGCTCCCTGAGTTTCCTTGCACTGATACATTTATTCTTGCTGAATACCAAGGTGCAGGAAGCTTCTCCCTGAAAACTGAAGAGACAAAATTTGTGTAGAGTTCAGCTGGATTCTAATTACTTATCACCCTTAACAGCCAACTTTAGAGCTCACCTTTAGTATATGCCTTTTGAAATCAGTGATCACTTTTAAGAGTGCTAACGCTTCATTCCCACAGCCTCTTCTGCACCTGTGATATTTCTCAACATACATGGGACCTGAATGCTCACCTCCACTGAATTAAACCTGAAAAACTTCAGTGAAGGTAGAGGTTAGGATGGAGCAAGACTGGTATAAATGGCAGAGAATCAGGCAGGCTTTTCATCTCAAGCTTTGTTTGTTTGTTTCTTTTCTACACCCCACCTTCCTTCATAAAGATACTAAACTTGTTTATTTGAAGGAGTAGTTCATCCCTGTTTGCCTATCCTGGTGGCATTGCAATTGCTACCTTTAAAATCAACTTAAAAATTTCACTTCAGAGCTGCAGGTTGGCTGGCAACACCTTCATAGTGACAAACAGAACAGGTCTTGTTCCTAGGAATTTCCCTCAAAAAAACAAAAACAAAAACAAAACAACCAAAAAAAAAACCAACCCCGAAACAACAACACCAAAAACAACCCACAAACAACAACAAAACCCCAAATGCTGACACCAGTGAGAGATATTAAGCTCATATTTCCATCTATTTTTTTGTTTGCCATCAACATTCAGGGGAAGCCTGGTACCTGCTCAGATACGCCTGTGGTTGTGCAGTATGCAGGCATTTCTGCCACAGGAAAAATGCTCTCAGTGTGCAGAGTGGCAAAAAGCAGCTGCTTTTGGAACAACTACGTGCACTGATTTTGCTGTTTTTAAATGTATCTGCTTGTGTATAAATGCTAATCATAGTCTTGAATTCAGTCAGTAAAGCCTTCCATCACACACACATACACAGAATCAGGTAGGCAGCATTTTTCCTAAGATATTTTTATACATACTCTGTGTGCATATTTTCTGTTAACTCAGACTATAAAGCAGAATGTCCCATAGAATTCTTTATGCCCTCAGCAGGGCAATAAGTGGTGTCTAGTTGTACAACTACAGCAAAATCTTTAGATCAAGTCTTCCTCAGTCTCCTTGGATGACCTGACCTTTTTTTTTTTCCCATACCGAGATCCTCAGGTAGAAATTATTAACATTTAGTTTTCCCTTCCTGGTTTGTGATCCACAGCACTTGCAGCCACTTCCTCCTGGTCATGAGTGGGGGAAAACCCCAACCCTGGCACTGGAATCCAGGCGGTGCCAGGGGAGGG